ATCCACTGTAGCCAGTGAAAAGCGATATTGCGTTGGCCTTTTATCAGCAGGATAATAAGCTTACAGGGAGACGGAGATGACCCCCTGGATATAAGTGATATAAGCCGCATTTGTACGAGAAAGGTAACAATGTAGAAAACAGTCCCTGAAGGCTCACCTTTCAAAACACAAAGCCTCTGCCTCATATTAAACTTTGCAGATTGCTTTACAGAAACTTAATGTTTCTTTTTTTCCGAGCTTCCCTTACAGTGACATTCAGCTTTTGGCTTGGCCATTCCAGAAACTGATTATAACATGTTCCCTAGAAGGCATTTAGTAAAACTAAACAATTAGAGGAAGAGGTCTCAGTGCTTGAATCCAATTCTTGGTACGGTGTGACCTGCCCTTCCAGGATTCAGCCAGAATCATTAAGAAGTGATACATGAAACTTTCCTTAGGGGAGATGGAAGGCTTTAGTGATCAGCAAAGATGACTCACTCAGAAGCGCAAGTGCTGAAGTTTGCATTTATTTTGGTGGTGAAAATAGGAAGGGGGAAAGAAATCTCAAGGAGAGAGCAACCAACGGCAAAGGTCCTTGGCATCATGATTAAAGCAGTGGTGTGCAAAAAGAAAACTGCTCTGCCTATGCACAGAGCTGAGAAAGGGTGTTTGTGCCCAGGAGCCTCGGCTCAGCTGCATGGCTCTGCCCAGCAGGAGGGCTCATATATCAATTTAATTTCATATTACAAAGATATTTTCTTCTCCATAAAGAATCTGATTTGAGAGAAGAGCACATTTTGGCCAGTAGACAAATGGAAGGCCAGGCACTGCTGATCAGCCAGTTTCCCTTTCACGGGACTTTTCCCTCCCTTCCTTATCCTATAATTGTTCACAAAAACAAAGAGGTATTCTCATTTAGCAAAATACCCATTGCTAGTCTAAGACTGGAGTAAGGAGGTTATTGCTGTGTCCAGCTAAATTCTTGCAGCAGAGAAAGAAATTGCAAACATGGCCTTTATTCTGTGCATTTCCTGGACGAAAGGAGACTGAACAGGAATTCAGATAAGAAAACTAATGCTATTGCTGTTCTTCATATTCTGTGAAGTATATTAATGGGGATAACAATACACATTAGACATCCTATTCAGTAACATTTTTAGTACCCAGCTGAGTCCAAATATAAACTATAATGGCATATGGAGACTGTCTTAAGAGCCATTTCAAATCAATTTAGTTTTATGTAGCGTCTCTCAAAGTATCTCAAGGTGATTTACAGTGAAGAAGAAAATAATGGGCTAGTGATTTAGTAGAGTGTGCCATGGCAGCTGTCAGGCAGGAAAGCAAAAATGCTGCATGGAGATGCAAAACTCTAATTTAAAAGCAGTAAAAAGGTGAACATATCTCGTTGCTCTTCCAGTAAAAGAAGCAGCCAGGTAATGAAGCCAGGCTGGGTTCAGCTTAACTCAACTGTTCCACGAAGCACTGAGGGCTTTTCCATTTACAAACAGAACTGGAACCTAAAACTGAAACATTCCCACTCAACTGTTGAGATTAGGAAAAGCCAGGAAAGAAATATTTGTGACCAGTTCATTTTAGCAGTTTTACCATCATATTTCACAACCTCAGAAATTTTAGACTTCCTGTGGGTTGGACTTTTGCCCTACGGGCTTATTAAGTCAAGAAGGCAGCTTTAAGTGCCTTTTTCATGGAAACTGTTAAAGCCTCTCTTGAAGAAGCAAGACTCTAGTCAAGAAACATTGATCTTGCCAGTGCAGCAGCCATTGCGCTGCTCCTGTTAAGCAAAGGCAGGCTGCAGGTGGAGTTCCCTTCAGATTACAGTATGGAAGTGTTGGGTCTCTTCGTCTTCATGGTCAAGGTGGCACGTGCCTCATTAGGTCTCATCCTCTTAATGGACAAGGCCCTCTCACCAGTATTCATCCCCATGCAGCACCTGAGGATTAACCAGCTCACAGTTGGACCTCCTTGGAGAAGTAGGTGAACAATTCCTCAGAGCAGTTTTCAAGGTTGGGGGGGGGGGATGTCCTCAGCTACAGGACACTTCTGTGGGTTTTTAGTCTCCTGCTCACCACTCCAGTGAAGCTGCTAAGGAAGCCATGAAAATGCTTGCATTTTGGCATCCTCAGCGTGAAGATCGCGTGTACTTCTTGCATTTCCCTCCCATCAAATAGTTCAGAATGGCCTGTTGGATATGAATGTTTCAACGAACTTTAGGCAAGAGAGAGGGAGTCCTAATGTCTTCCTAGGTGAGGACCTGAGTACATAGAATCATAGCACAGCTCAGGTTGGAAGGGACCTTTAAAGATCATCTGGTCCAGCCTTTGGTGGGAAAGGGATCCTAGATGAGATTATCTAGCATCCTGTCCAGTAGCATCTTGAAAACCTCCAGTGGTGAGGACTCTACCACATCCCTAGGGAGGTTGTTCCTACCTGCCACTTCTTCGAGAGGACTAAACCACACGTTTTCCCTTCCAGGTGCCAGGACACATTCAGAATTTCTCATTGCTGCTGTGTGTAGGCCAGGGAGATGGTGGAAGCTTGACCCACTTATGTCATCCCTGGCATCAACCACGACAAAAGGCTGCTAGACCTCTTCTCAGCTTCCCCAGAGAGGACGTAGGGGCTGTTTAGGATGTTAAAGCGGCGAAGAGCCTGAACTGTGATTACTTGAAAAAGTGCCTCCCCCCTCTACCATCTTGGCAAGTGCTGAGCTTGTTTTGCAGCCTCGGGGCTGATGCTGAATGTTCTCACGCAGGAATGTTCCTCCACGCAGGAATTGACTGCTCCCACCCGTTGGAGTCTGCTAACTGTGCGGTGTCGCACCTTCCTGCAGACAGGGGCTGCGTGAGTCACATGAAGCTGTAAGTACTGGTGTGATATCTATTCATCTGGAAAAGTGTTTTCTTTTCCTTTCCGCTGTGCAAGTAGTATATGTTTTATTAAATAAAGTGCATGTTCCCTATGCAAATGAATGCACTTTGGAATGATGATATACTGACACATTCTATGTTAAATATGTATGACATTTAAAAATCTAAGCAAGAACTAAAAATCATTTATAAATATTAAAGAGCATGAAGTCTACTTTTTGTTTTCATTTTGCTTCTGATCATGCACTCTGGGAAAAATACTCCTCGCATTATAAGACTGAATTATCTGTCCAAGAACTAAACCTGTAATTTTATTCTATCAGTCAAGCTGTATGTCACACTATTTTTATATCAAGACAATCAGGTTCTTTGAAGCACAGACACACACCTACTTAAAAGAAGCATTCCTCTGAAAGCAGAAGACTTTGGAATCAGCAGCAATTTGTATCTTTCAAGGGACTGATAATTAAATGGAGAAATGCAGCTTCTAATGAAAAGATATCCTGTGCCCATCTTAGGTACTGAGAAACCAGGTTCACAGGTCAAACACCGAGCGCAGAGCATGGCAGAGAACCGAAACTCCAGCTCTGGAGTCCCAGTAATCTCTGTTCCTCTAACATCACCATTTTTTCTTGCCAAAGAAGCAATTGCTCTCAGATTGGTCTTCACTGCACATTCACTTACCTCACTAAACTATTCCGTGTGCTTCTGCCGCACCGTGGGGTTGCTGGCAAATGGACAAGGATGGCAGAAGTGCCATGGGACAGCAGGGAAGGGATGTGGTGTCTGGAAACCTCCACCAAGGCCATTTGAAATGAAGCAGCGCAAATCCTTCGCTCACTTTACTATCCCTGCTATCAGCAAAATGCCTTTCTCCATTTCCAGATGAGAACTAGAGCAGTGGGAAATATTTCCCCTCAGTATTTTTCCCTCATTCCTCTGCTGACAGAAAATTTAAGACAAATGGTCATTTTGGTGGATTTAAAAAGCAGCGGAACTTCATGCCCTTAATGAATGGGCAGCAGGAACTCATACTGGCAGTGCTAAATGGCTGCACATGAAACTAGCCAGGCTCAGTAAATGAAACCAGACCCCAAAATGCAGTCTGAGATAACTCAAAGTATGCATTGAAATTTATTGTAGGAAAATGACTGACTGGAAAAAAAGTGGTCTGCTCTGCCCCTGCACCTCCAAAACATATTCTACCATTTAAACGCTTTAGAAAGACATCTGCCAAAAATGCAACGAATTCTCCTGAAGGTCAAATGTATTTCTCTTGTAAAACAGTTGCAGCAGCAACTGTATGCCTTGATTACTCTTACGAAAGCAGCTTAGGAAAAATCCTAGGACTGTTCTTGTGTTTGAAGTCGGATGTTTATTGCTTACTGGCAGTGACTTCTGTTGCAAAGGTTAAATGTGGTCAGCAAATGATCGAATCCTCCCCAAAAAGCGTTAGTGCAGCCCATCCAAAATTCCCGCGGCAGATTTGCGGTTCTGCCCGGAGTGCCACCCTGCAGACACAGCTGCTCCGTGAGCTCCTCTCCTGCCGACAGCCCCGAGATGCAACACTGAGGAACACACAGCGGTGGGAACAAGGAAGGGTGACAGCACCTCTCAGCCCCAAACCCCGCTGTCCCGTGTCAGTCTGGCACGTCCCTGGCTACCCTGGGGCAAAGGAGGGGGAAGGAGTGGGAATCTTGGTACCAAAATACAGTGTCTGTTACCAAAGACCATTTTTGCCGGCGCTTTCTACACAATAATATATGAAATGCAACCACCTCTTTTGAGCTGGGTAGGAAATAACTGCAGCATCTGTTGATAACAGCTGAGGTCTCTTGCATTACACCACAGGCATCGAGCTTTGCACACCGAGAAGAGACCAGAGAAGTCCCCTGCTCCTCCACAGATGAATTAAGCCCTTGGTAAGATCAAGTTCATCCTTAGAAGTCAACTGCTGGACTGGATTATAATTTTTTTTCTCTCTCACTGTTTGTGTAAGACTTGCAGGTTTATTCACTGGAGATTGCCACCATAAATTTTAGGGCTCTGGTTTACAAAGCCTATAACAACCTTGTTTAGCAAAGGTGTGCCTTGCAGCATTCCTTCAGTAATGCCACTTTGGCTGCCCCTTACCTCTGGGGTGAGGTATTTCATCATGATTTCCTTTCCTTTCTCTCCCAGCTTTTCATCTGGAGCAATTTCATATTCTGCCTGGAACAGACATTAAAAAAAAAAAAAAAGTCAATATTTGCACTCATATTTCACCATTATAACTTCATTTTGGATGTGGCCTTAACAGAACGCTCTGTCTGAAAAATCTGAAGGATAAATACCATTTTCTGATGGAAGTAAAACCCGTACACACAATCCTATTAAAAACCTCCCACTGTATGTTGACCAAACTCTAGTGGTGCATTTTCGGAGACGGTGTCTCTTAATTAACATCAATAAAATGTATTTCATTTATATTTTATAGCCTTGCCAAGCCAGCTTTCAGAAAGCATTCAGTGACTAGAGATGGCAACTTTGTTTGGTTTTGCTCAAAGGGAAGATGGATACAGAAGGTAAAATTATTTCTTTGAGTAGCAGAGAAAGTGACTGTTCATTCTTGCCACAGTGGTCTTTCAAGCACCAGGTGAAGTCCTTCAGCAGACTGTCCTTTTGGTCGAATGTGTCCTTCCTATTTATCTACAGCTTCCCCTTGGTCTAACACTTTCTGCTGGTCTAACGCTCCTTCTGCAGAGCAGGGAGATTTGTCCATCACTTTTAGGGATCCTTGGCTGCCATCCTTCCAGAAGGCAGATCTGAGAGCCCATTTCTTAGGTGGATTTCTTAGTACCAAGATAAAACAAGAGAGACCATTTAGAGGAATAGGCACTATAGGCAAAATCCTCTTTAACATCCCTGATGCACCAGAGTACCACATTCCTACATACAAAGTTTACCTACATTTTAAAATTCTGACTATTCTGCGTATTACTTTTTTATGAGTTTTAGGGCAACTTTTACACAAGAATCAAAGGAAGCATTATCACAAAGACATTAATCCATGGAATTTTGGATCCATGGCAGGAATTTGAAGGAAACACGTGCCGCATGGGACTCCAGTGGCAACATGACAACGACAAGTTGTTGGAGACATTTCCACTTGGCACTGCTCAGGATACAAAGATTTAGCCTTAGGATCAAAATATTTTCCAGAAAAAAATAAAAAAGGCAGTCTAACCGCTTTCATGACTGCTTGTATTAGAAAAAGGATCCCAGAAAGTCCTGCCAAACAAATTAGGTAACCTGGTCCAATACAAGCTGTCTGAGATGATAAATGAGGAGGAAGTTAAAAGAAAAAAAAAAGGTAAATCAGACTGAACTGGCAAACGCTTGGAAGAACAAATTTCAGAGCCTTTGCCCACTGGAAGACGTATGCACTGCTCCGAGCTTGATGCAATAGATCTGAAGGCAGGCTGTAATGGATGCCCTAGCTAAGCAGAACTAGGAATGACATGAAAACCACAATGTAGCAATAATGCTATTACCCATCTATCTAGCCAGTGCTGATTTAGCTATTGCAGCTTAAATCTGAAGCTACAGATTTATACACACAGAGCAGGTTGCTTGAACAATCTAGAATTACGATCTGATTTGGTTTGGGAAATGGCAATGACCGCAAATAACAGAGAAACCTGTATTGCTGCTGAAAAATACACCGAAAGCTAAAATCTTCAAGTGCAGTACTTGTCTTTTAGTGACCATTTTGGGGATGAACTGATTATATTCTCATAAAACTTAATACAAGGGCCCAAAAAAGTCTTTCATCCAATTTCCTGTCCTTTTAGATGATATCTGAGCATGGGTTGTTTCGGCTCTTAAAGCACAGACACTCAAATGTTTACAGCATCTTAACAGCATTTTTCCCCATGATTCCTTGCTAGGGGATAAAGCACTGGCAAGAGTAACAGAAGAAACAGTTCTTTAAAAGGTCAAAGTTGCATCTTATTTGACCTTATGGCTTATGGTTAGGTTCATAGACAAACTGGGTGTTTTTCATACGAAAGAAAACAGAAAAAATGTATTTTAACAAAAGAAAATAACTGTACTTAAATGTAACTGTCTGTGCAGAAGATTGCAAAGAAAGGAGAACTCCTTGGCATTGTCTCGGCATGGAAGCATCTAGGAGATCTTCTGAGTCCACCGTTCAATGCTGTTTACAATTTATCCAACGATGACCATTTCTTTCTCCTTCATTTGCTTTTAGACTCTGGATCCTGGTAATATATTGGCTCCCTAGTAAATAAAACCTGATTCAAAGCCATCATCTGCCGTTTGAAGTGCACCAGGGAGATGTCTTTTTTGCCACAGATACCCTGTTACATTTACAGCCCATCCGAGTCGTACAACAGAAAGCAAATCAGGACAGGTCAGAAGATGACAGAAGTATAGCAGGAACGGATCAGTGTTTTGAAACGCAATTCCTGATGGGATCCAACATATGCAGCCAGAAGATGACAGAAGTATAGCATGAATCAGATCAGTGTTTTGAAATGCAATTCCTGATGGGATCCAACATATGCAGAGCTAAATGCACACACACACACATATATACAGAGTACCTAACTCTGTCTCAAGATAGTTGGGAAGGAATAAAAGGAAAGTTTAATTATACTTGCATTTGACATTCTCAGAAAACGCGATACTGTGGTGGTGAAGGTGGGAAGTGACAGACAAGTGAGGATGTGAGAAGGAACCATAAGCTCCAACTGTGAACAGCGTTGATTTCACTGTAGCTCAAGTGCTAGCAACCCATTTCCTTTTGTTTCGAAGTTCATCATTATTTCTCCCTTCAGTGCCACTTTCAAGCTATTTGGTAACAGATACTGGTACATTTTCAGCCATGAACTGTTCTTACAGGAAGAATTACCTGTGGAGAGAGACAGAGTGACTTCCCCGTGCTCTCTCTGCCGCATGGCTAGGAAGTGTACCAAGGTCCTCAACTCTCAATCTTGTGCTTAAATCACAAGATACATCCCGTTCTTCCACAATACTCAAAAGCACGGCTACAGTTTGCAAATCCCTAATTGCTAGAAATACCATCGTTACTTAAAATCCATGTGGAAGAAAATATTTTCCATTATTCCTTTGATGAAGCCAGGCATGTATTTCAAGGCTCCTGCTCTGAAGTCTAATAGCTTCTCCGTGCCCTAGTTTCGTCAGACAGGGCCCTATTCATAGCTCATAAATGAGGGGAGGATTTACGATCACCCTGACTGCATGGGACGAGCTGCAGGGAAGGCTCTTTCTGTGGGGAGGTGTGGACCCTTCAGTCCAAACAGCGAGAGGATGTGGGCTGGCTGCCGTTTGTTGTTAACTTTTCTCTTGGCTGCTGTTTCGGAGGCAGTAGTTGCTTCGGTGGCTCCTGCTTCCCTAGAAGCAACCCTGGCTGAATGAGGACATGTGGGTCCCTTCGGAGCAGTCGCCCTTGGGATGGGCTGAGCGAGATCAGATGGGAAAACATACTTCCATTGGGAAAGGGAGCAACGTCCAGCCTGTGGCTGGCTGTGGGACAGGGCCATGGGCTCAGGGATGGCTGAGCAAGAGGTTCAGGGGCTGGAGGGTGCCTTTGACTGATGGAGAGCATCACCAGGGCAATGGCATAGGGACCCAGCAGGGGCTCGCATCAGCAACCTTAATTCTGACACATCATTTTATCTAGTGTTTGATTTTCATCTTAACAGCCTTTGAGCTCCTGAAACTGTATGGCTTAAAAACATGTGAAAATTGAAAAACGGAACTAAAGGGATCTCTTTGCAGATCTGGGAGGAGTCTCTCCCACAGAAGGTTGGAGTCTCTCCTGGGCTGCTTGCCTGCAGGAGCGTGGCATGGCCACAGGAGTTGGTTCCTTGGACCCACCAGGACATGGAGATGGGAACAGATGCTCCCACCAGAGCGGTTTCAGCTTTTTGGCATAAGCCAGGAACAGTGGAATCACCTTCTGAGCATCTGCGGGACACTACTGGCATTTCGGTCCCGATTTTACGCCTCTGCTTTCTCAGCTCCCTCAGTTATCCCCAGCATCTCTCTCTGCTCCAGCTCCTGCTCCCTCCTTCCTCAGACTCCAGGCCCTGCTCTGTTGTTGCTCTGTGCTCCAGCGACTGCCCCTGCACTTGCCTCCGCTGGAGATTTAAAATCTGTGACTGAAAATTGGAAGGCAAAACCCAAACAGCTGGAATTCATAATAACTTGCATTTCTAAATGAAAAGTGAACTTGAAACCACATTTTTCTTATTTAAACGCAGGGCAAAAAGAGCCCTTTTGACTGTTTAAAAACACATTTTGAGTTAATGAGTTTGTTGATACCAACAAACTGGCATTTCTGATGGAAAAAGCCTTGAACAGCTTTAAGACACACATACACAGATGGTTTATATACCATGTAAGGGACTTCACCAAACACAGTCTCCCTAACAGCGGGACAGGGTTCTTACAAATGGCATTACACGGATGCTCGCTCATCCTTTTACCCCAGATAAGCGTAATGTCTAGTGAAGCGTTCAGCTGAGAAGTCCACCCGAGGAGATTGTGCCTCTCGCCCCTGGCCCCCATGCCCGGATCACACAAGCAGAGCAGAAACAACCTGGAGAGGCAGTGGGGCATCCTCCAAAGGATGTATTTCTGTGAGACTTCAGTACAAAGAAATAACATTGTACAGGTTGGAGAGAAAATGTCAGGTTATTTCCTCCTTGACCAGAATTAGCCATGTTCTCCTCCAGTCAATCTAAGTCTGGTCCACTTTAAAATGTTAAAAACTTTCCTCTGGAAAAAAAAAAAATTAATGATTTGTGAATGTGAGTGGACAAAGCAGGAAAGGGAGTCCACAAGCTAAAGTCTTAATTATAACAGCACATAAAAATCACAGGAGAGGAGAGGGAAACATCAGGAACCGGCACCCTGGGAATGTGCTGTTGAGAAGAGGATGGGGGCAAGGGGAGGAAACGCGTACTGCTAGCAGATTCCCTGCTCGCTGACCTGCCTCTCAGCACAGGAGACGTATCCCCTAACGCTTTACTTTAACGGCTGTCTTTCAACAGCTCCAGAGTTGTAGGATGTCGCTGAAATATTTGTAAGCACAACAAAGAGTGCTTTAGGGCTGTGCGTGAATTCTTTGTTAAGGGCTTATAGGGGAGCTGATTTAATCATAAACCATCTCCATTTAATGATAATAGTTTACGTTCGCATAGTTCCTTCATCTCAATGGCTACAGCAGGGTTTGGTGAACAGTTCGTGGGAGATCTTCATGTGTACGAGCACACACATAAGCACACGGTGCATTCAGAGGCACAAGCTGCAGCCGCTGGAACTTTTTACTGGATGTTTTATCTAATCAAGTCAGCACCTCTGTCATAAAACTGCTTGCACAATATCCGTAGTAAGAGATGGCTCTCTGTCCTTACAGCCTTACCGTACCGGCCAGGAGAAGGGGTTGCTGTTGCCCCATTTCCCAGACTGTCAGCCACACTGATGGCTGCTTACTGGTCCCACAGCAGTGGTGGGAACCAAACACCCACAGCTCCACCAGCACTGCAAAACTCTGCATCTCTTCGTTTTTATTGCTTCTACCATTTAATGATGGGGCCTACTGCTCACAAACCACATATCTTTGTAGTCCGTTTTACAATTGATAGATCGCGGCTAATTACCCAAACACTGTTCTCAGGAAACATGTAGACACTTTATGCCTCTGAGCACTTTGATCTCAATTATTGGTTGAAATTGTCCAAGGTATTCATAGGTTTCAGAGGGAACTGACAGATACACACCTACGTGCATGCAGAATTTAATGATACAAGTCCTTTTTCCTTCAGAAAGCAGCCTAACAACTCTTTAACTGCACAGAGAAAAAAGCCCAGATGCTGCTATAATTAGATTCATAGGAGACTACATCAGCTCAGGTCGGTCAGTTAGTTCACCCAACAGCTGAAATAAATGTCCAGCAAAGAGGGGATTTTTTTTTTTTTCCTCTTTATGTATTCTGGTCTGCAAGGTCTGCTTGATTTTACCAGCCTTTGGAAGCAAAGGGGTGAGCGAGAGCTTGCAAAACCTGCTCTCACATAAGTATGGGCATGGAGGTTGTTGGTAGGTTGAGTGTCTGACTCAGCTTCTGGTTATCTCCCAGGAGCCTTGATCTCTGCTTTCTTTGCAGCCAGTTGAGTGCACTGGTTAAAAAATTGTATTAAAAATTGGGAGGCATCGATTACTGGCTTCTGCCAATGACTTACTGTGTGACCTGGTCAAGGCACTTAGCCATGCTCTGTAAAAGAGAGGTGGCCCTACCTCTCAATGCGCAAAAAGCTCTGTGAGCCTCTCATGAACAGCAAAATACTTTCCTCTCTAATGTTTTTCTCTTTATTTGATATTACACAAAAGCTAAGTTTTGTATCTCATGTTAGAAAAATAACTAAGCCAAAAGAAAGGCTCTTGGCTTTTTCTGCTGGGGCTTGTTACAGCAGGTGGTCTCCAAAAGGTTTCGCATTCCTGGTGGTCTCAGAATGGGGCTGTAAAGTCAAACTTCTGGTCTCATTATAAGACTTTTTTGCCTAACATAAGACTTGGCCTGAATCCCACTACTGGCTCAACGCAGTGTGACCCTGCTGGGCGAATTTCAGTAGCAATCATCCAATTTAACGGCTATGAGCTGTGTCGCTCGACCTTAATATTGCCTAATGCGGGGATTTTCATGGGCTGGGAGCAAGCTTGTACAGAATTTGAAATCAACAAACAAAGAAGGCTACTGTTAATTAGCATTAAAAAGAAGAGAGAAAGAGTAAATATTCAGACCTCCAAACAGCCAGGCATTTTGTTCATGAAATCCTTCTGCTGCCAGTCTGAGCCTAACCGGGAACAGATCACTGGCCCAGTAAAGGCACGCAGGGCACCTCCAGTCTGCAAAAGCAACCTGGGGGTGGGTGAAAAGCACACCCTTGCAAAAGGATTTGGGGATATCGGTTCAGGAATGCTCGAGAGGGAGCTTTAAAACAAAAGCCAGTCCCACCAGAAGGTTTCGCAGGACCGATGTCGCCTGTGCTGCACCTATGCTGGGAGGACAGGGAGTTTCAGCACTTGGCATCGCTCCACAGGTCTTCTGGAGAATGTGATGACACAGTGCCCTCAATTCCCACAGCCGGAGGAAGGCTGGGAAGCCAGCTCTGCTGGGAGAGGCTGGGAGCAGCTGGGAAAGGCTGGGAGATGCTGCCAGGCTGTGCTGCAGCCATGAGCCCATGCCAGCCCGAAGGCTACCACGCAGTGCTCTGGGGCCGGTGGCACTGGGGACGTACAGGGGGACAGTAACATCTCCTTTTGCCCAGACGTTCTTGCCGCTGTGAGCCCAAGCGGTACGCCCTGAGCAGGGCTCGCGCAGTGGGGGCTTGTTCTCCACAGCCCCTGGGTGCTGCTGGAACCAAAATGTGACACCTGCCACTGCGAGGTGAGGAAAGAACAGAGCCTCACTAACCCTCTCCAAACTGAGGATGGATCTGCCTGTTCTCAGAAAACCACTCAGAAACAAGCTTTTGTGGCTGTCTCCCAAAGGATTTCTGTGGCTTCCTAGAGGGACAGTCACCATCTGTCTCCTCAGGGTGGTGGGCATCACACTTCATGTGGCATTTCTGTGGGGATGCCTCCCCCCAGACATGTGCGTGGTGTTTCATCAGTGGCAGACACCTCAGTAAAAGATGCCAGTTCATTGCAGGACAAACACATCCAGGGTACCCAAATGTCCTCCTGCCTTGAGCGCAGCCACACGGAGCAGTCGTGAGACGTAGCAGTTTCACATACCTCGATGGCTAAACCTTTCCACTGGGGAAAAGCACGGCCAGCACTAGGAATACCAGGTGGAAGTTGTGACCATCTAAAACTGATCTGAATAGGACTTTATCCAATGCTTTCTGTGGTGCTGTAGATTTGCTGTAGACACTGCAGTACTACCATAAACTTTAAGTGACTACATGTCCTCTACCAGACTCTTAGCTTCCATAACTTCAATGCAATCATAGAATCATAGAATCATAGAAAGTTTTGGGTCAGAAGGGACCCCTAGAGGTCATCTAGTCCAACCCCCCCGCAGCGAGCAGGGACACCACTAACTAGATCAGGTTGCTCAGAGCCCTGTCCAACCTGGTCTTGAATGTTTCCAGGGATGGGGCCTCCACTACCTCTCTGGGCAACCCGTTCCAGTGTTTCACCACCCTCATTGTAAAGAATTTCTTCCTTATATCCAGAAAACCCTTTCCCCCGCGTCCTGTCACGGCTGTCTCTACCTATAGAGCCTATAGGCTCCCTTTAAGTACTGAAAGGCTGCAATCAGGTCTCCCCGCAGCCTTCCCTTCTCCAGGCTGAGTAGCTTCACCACGGCACAAACAAAAAAGCTTAATTCCTGTTGGTATGCATCATTTTGCTTTTGACTGCCAGTGTTGGGCAGAGAGGGAAGCCCCCCAGACACTCGCACTCCGCGGTGACAAGTTCATCTTATTCTCTGTGATGATTTAGCCTTTTGGCTCATCACCACCGGACCCTTCCGCAGGCTCCCAGCAAGAAAGCCGCTTTTCCACTCTGAACAGCTTCTCCTGCTGGCACTACACACGGCCGAGGGCTGCCAGCCTGGGAAAGCGCATCAGGTCTCCCCGGGGCTGGCGGGGGTTGCTGAGTGTCTGGGTTAACTGGTAGCTCACTGGGGTGGAAAATGGAGCAGATTTGTTTCTTGGTGACTTCAACCAAGTCATTTCTATACCTGGTGCCTCTGTTTTCCTATTTGAAAAAACAGGATAATAATCAGGATGTCCTTTGTAAATTACCCTGAAGTCTACCGATGAAAAGGCTTGGTAAGAGATAAATATTAGTATTACCATACTCCTCATCCTCTCTCATCAGTCCATTCATCATCTTCTCTTTCCTCCCAGTGCCTCCCAGCACTGCAGGCTTCACCCACACCAAAAGAAATTACCCACAGCAGCTTGGGCATTGCCATGACGAGAGGCGATGCCAGCACCGTGCCGGGGTGCCTGTCCTTCTCCCGCTCCAGTGGCTCCCCCTCCCCGGGGCTGGCACCCACCCCACGAGCAGCACTGACCCTCCACCACCACCAGCGCTGGGATGCCGACCGGCTCAGCCCTGTCTGCTGCTTGCTCGGGTGCGTTAGACACAGAATCACATCCCATGGAACAGGGATGGTTTCTTGGGGTCAGGGGAGTCTCCTGTCAGGAGAGCACTGAGAAGCATCCCAGAATATCACAAGAAGTGACTTACCACCGAGTCAAGGAACCTAATGCAGCACTCGAGCTCGGGTCGAGTTTCACAGAACTGCCGAAAGAGAAGCCTTCCGATCGGCTGCTTTTCGCATATGCTGCAGTAATCTCTCTCTAGAGGCAATAAAGAAAAGAAGAGAAGCATGAAAATGAGAAGAGTTTTGCCTTTTGGGTTAATTAGGAGTTCAAAGCATTGCAAGTGAGTGCAGAACTATGACCCCAAATCAGACCAGCCGCCTTCGCCCCGCCACCACGTTTCAGGTATCCAAATACAAATATAATTAATGGCTTTAAGACTCAGACAAGACAGGCTCAATTTTATAGAGCTGATGTTGGTAAAAGTCCCACAAAAGCCATTCAGCTATTATGAAAAAACTAATTTCACATTTTTCTGTGGTGGAAATGCATGCACTCTGCAAAGGTACTGCTCAGGCTGGTGGTGTCTGTGGGAATGTGGGGAGCAAATTACAAGTCCCTGAAATGTGAGTCACACATCAAAGGATGGAAAAAGCTGGAATTTATGGAGAGCTTCCTGGATGCTTCTTAGATATGCACGAAAGTGCCCTGATCTCTGGAAATGCTCAGCCCACTCTCTACTAAACAATTATTGCCAGCTATGTATTTTCAAAGGTTTCCAAACTTCTGCTGTTTACTCGCTGAGCATTAACGAACGGATGGAGCACATGACATCTAGCTCGTTTCAGTTTCACACAGCACTGCTTTACAGAGCTGTATTTCCCCTGAAACGCCAGGTTTAAATGCCATTCTCCTGTGCTGGTGCATCCAGAACCATCACTCCCAGTACAGCAAAAGGTCCTTTACCCATCACGGGGACTATCTGCAGGAAAACCTGGGAGAAGGGCAGGCATCATGAACTGGTATTGCACCAGTACAAATGCTGAGCACTTTGGATATTTTTCCGGTGAGAGCAGCCAATCCCCCAGCCTGTTTGGAGCAGCAGTACTCGCTCGAGACACGTTATTCCTCTAGAAGCACACACATGTCAAACAACATACTGTGTTTCCTTAAGCGTTCCTCTCACCACCCTCCTCGCTGCCATATGGCGCTTGCTGTTATTATGGAAACAACGAGCTTCTAAACACATAACATAGCACTGCAAACAGACATACGAAACCCACACGAGTTGTCAGTGCCTTGGTTCCTTCTCTTTCAGGCCTGGAGTCACTCCCGCAATGTCTTTTATTCCCCTCTTGCTTTGGCCCCCTGCACCCCTCAGCCCCATCCGCTCCAAGCAGAACATCTTCAGGCACACGATGGAGCTCGTCTGGGCCATGGAGACACCCAGTCAAAGGGCTCGCTCATCGCAGGTCATACCCTGGGGACCATGCCCTGCCAAACCGGGACATCCCTCCTGAACGGACAGTGGTGTACGAGATGCGGGGCTGGCCGGCCTGGAGCTGGGTGGCGGGTGGGCAGGAGCACCCAAGGCTGCCTCTTGTAGAAGGAAGGAGGGTGCTTGCCTAGTGCTGTGCCTGTGTGCAGCTGTGGCTGTACTTCAGGAGCTGGGCCCTGAGGCACCTACAGGGTGGTCACTGGAGACAAGGGTTGGGGCTAGCTGGACTGTGCTTTTAATTCAGTATGGTCCTGCTCTGGTCTGGTCTTCTGAAGCAGTCTGGAACAACGTACCAGCAGCGTTTTGTGGCTGGTATTGCCAGTCCGTTTTGGATCAGGATATCACTCAACCTCTCCAGAAGATTGCAATGCTTTGATACCCTCTAGCAAATAAAATTGGATTGAAAGCACTTCTTAAACCCTAACTTGACCTCCAGTCCACCTATCAGCAGCAAGCCCACGGCACTGGTTTGTTTGCATGAGCTGGAGCCTCCAGCGTGGAACATCACAACACAGAAATGTATGCGAGCAGCCTTGGGCTGTCCTTGCGAGTGGTACAAGCTTGTGCTGCTTGACCGAGTAGCTTTTTTAGTGAGAAGGTAATTGCTGAAGGGATGTGCAGACAGGCACAGCGCTAAGGTAAGGAAAGGAGCCAGGAAAGAGCCTGAGCGGAGCAAACCAGCAACTCACAATGTGCCAGAGGCCGCCACGAAGCCAGAGGCTGAGCAGCTCCGGTGAGCTCTCCTGGGAGGTCTGGAGGTTGAACTATGTTTGTCTGATGCTCTTTTCTGCAAGCTTGACTAACTAATTCCTCTGAGGGTATGGACAAAATATACACCTTGAATACTGGTAGCACACAGCCTGCCTGCTGACAGGACTCAATCCCTCCAGAAGCCCAAATTCTGAGGGTATGAACAAAATATACACCCTGAATACTGGTAGCACACAGCCTGCCTGACGACAGGACTCAATCCCTCCAGAAGCCCAAACCCAAGGCAAGCTTCCTCATGTTAAACATGCAGTGCAAAAAGTGCAACTGAATTTGGAACGGAATAAAACGCAAAGGAACAAATACATTAATCAGCTAGTTTGCCCTGTATTTTCTCTTGTACAGCACTATTTGATGCATGGTGACAATGCTTGTTTTACAAAATGCAGTTAGTCTATCAAAGTTGTTATGATATGGTGACACTGTAGCAGAGGATGCTCTTCTAGCAAAAGGGCTAGTGATACCAGCTAAATGAGTGTGCAAATTGCACATCCAATAATTGTACTTCACAGCACATCAGGAAAAGAAAACAGGCAGCTAAACACTGTTACATATGTGGATAAGTGAAACACAAAGAACACACGAGCCCAGACTTCCTCCTATGGAACATAACTTGAGCAACACGTGAGAAGGGTGACCCATTCCTAACGAGGAAAACGGAAATACCAGAAATAATCTCTGAAAACACGAGAGCCAGAGCAGTTCCCTGGAGCCATCCACTCCTTGGCTGTGTTTGTTTAAGTGCTGGATATACCAATACAGACAATAAACACATGATGCAACTGCTTTCATTCCTTGTAGGTGACACAAAGTGTTTTCTTAGGCCCCGATATTGCCGTCGGCGTCACGAAGTCAGCTTAAGGAGTCTGCTCTCAGCTAATTCTTGGGATACATGGGCCCCGGAGCGCACTAAGAAAGAAAAACACCTCACTCAGCTAAAGCAGAAAAAAGGAGTGGCTGGTTTTATTGCAGTAAGGAAAGCAGAAGTGTTTTAACAGCGTGCTGCACCCTGGAGACCTGGCTGAAGCATCCCGAGCCATGCTCCCGAGCTGCTGCACGAGGGGAGGGGAGGGAGAGCGCGCGGGGACCCCAGCCAGGGACTCCCTTGGGAAGCCTGCCAGTAAAAATATCCATCCAGTTTCAAAAGTTTAAAAAACAGAAAGAATGATTTCCTGAGGAAATGGAAATGTTAAACACTTGGAAGTGAAACCATATGCTTATGATGATGAAGTGTAACTAAAACAGCTCCGAGAGCGGTATCTTTGGTAGTCAGATCCTCCTGCTTGAGCGCAATCCTGTTTAACACCTGCAAAGTCACCCAAAATGGGGGTGAAAAGCTGGGTGGGTCAAAGCCCTAGGAAAGCAGTCACTTCTCACTGATGCCAAACTCTTTATTTAGAAAATATCACCGGCCAATAGTGTGCGTATGCAAGTGAATTCTTTCTCTTCCTAGCAGAGTAACGACACAGATTAATATAGAAAAGGTATTATATAAAATGCCATAATAAACATTCCTAAGATAAAGATTAATAATGTTTATTCTAAATTCTACTGACTCATTTTTCCTTTTACTTCATAGCTTACGTATTGAAATACTACTTGAAAGAGCACCCAGTACACAGAACATACCAAAATAGTTACACCTGCATACACAAAATGCCATCACCTTTCAAAGTCTATGGCCATATTTGTTCTCTGACAGATGCTTTGGTAAGGTTCCGAAAAATATCTAAGCACACGCCTAGGAAAAACAGTCCTATTAGTAAAATTTCATACTGATCAAAACATGCCATTGATGAAGTCAAAAACACAAAACAAGGTAACAAAGACAGTTGCTGCCGATAAAATGTCTGACTTTCAAGTAAAAGGAAAGATCTAATATTTTAATTGGATAAAAAACTCCCTGTGCCTTGAGAAGATTTTTTCATCTTAATTTCCCATTTAAACACCTAGTATTTTTTTTCTGCCTCAGAATATCACCTTAGCAACTTTGGAGAGAAACGGTGGTCTGCAGAGAGACCAGGTCCCCACTCCTCTTTCCCATGTACAATATACCCATGCATTTTGATGGGTTAGTGGTGAGTTATAAAACTGGGTGAGGACTCTTGGCTGAAAACCAGTCTTTCCTGATGCTGTTTCGTTCAGTGTAAACTGCAGGTGTCCAAGCAAGACCACTATGGAAAGTTGTACTGCTGTTTCTGGGCAGAAGCCCTCGTTTTGAAGAGCTACTAATCCAAAATCTTCAACCAGCTGGTGAGGTTTCCTCCTCTAGACGTCTATGAAGAGGGACAAGCTCAGTTTAAATCTCACTTTTCAAGTCTGCAAAAGCCAGGAACATCTTTTCATCTTTTTTGGTCGTTACTGGTGTGGCCAATGATTGCATTTATGTACTATCTATTAAGTAGCATTTTATTTTCCAACATTCTGCAATCCCAAGAGAAGATATTTCAAAGAAATGCATGCAGAATCGCCACGAAGACATGCACCACGCTGCTGCACGGGAAAATTTGGACTTGGCCTCTGGATCTCTGCTCTCCTTGGCATTAAATCAGCCTGAATTAAAACTGAGTAAGATCCAAAAGCAATGTAATTCTGCTGCCTAAAAAACCCAAACAAAACAAAACAAAACAAAAAAGCCACCCAAATAAAAAAAAAAAACAACCCTTCTTAACACCTGGAAACCCCAAAGTCGATGTAGGAAGAATTAATTGTTCTTTTCCTGCTTATGCTCAATGACCCAAGATGAGAACTCATCTTCCCTTCCCAATTTCTTTTTTCTTTAAAATGAATCAAAATCTTTCAAACAGATGTTGTTCCAAGTCTATTATTTAGCTGCTGTTTTCTTCCTCTCGTCTGCTTTAGTCCAGAACAACCGAAAGCACAGCAAACTCATGGAAGAAAGCATTCGAATACAAGGGAACCCTCAGTCCCTACGCTCAAGCTGGACAGTAGGGAACAGCATCAGAGCCAGAAGGGACTGGTAGTCGGTTTG